TGTGAGTGAGTGGGTAGGTAAGTGGGTAGGTGAGTGATAGGGTAGGTGAGTGTGTGAGTGAGTGGGTAGGTGAGCGTGTGAGTGAGTGTGTAGGTGAGTGGGTAGGTGAGCGTGTGAGTGAGTGGGTAGGTGAGTGATAGTGTAGGTGAGCGTGTGAGTGAGTGGGTAGGTGAGCGTGTGAGTGAGTGGGTAGGTGAGTGGGTAGGTGAGTGATGGGGTAGGTGAGTGTGTAGGTGAGTGGGTAGGTGAGTGGGTAGGTGAGTGAGTGGGTAGGTGAGTGATGGGGTAGGTGAGCGTGTGAGTGAGTGGGTAGGTGAGCGTGTGAGTGAGTGGGTAGGTGAGTGAGTGGGTAGGTGAGTGTGTAGGTGAGTGGGTAGGTGAGTGATGGGGTAGGTGAGTGGGTAGGTGAGTGATGGGGTAGGTGAGCATGTGAGTGAGTGGGTAGGTGAGTGAGTGGGTAGGTGAGTGATGGGGTAGGTGAGCGTGTGAGTGAGTGGGTAGGTGAGTGATGGGGTAGATGAGCGTGTGAGTGAGTGGGTAGGTGAGTGGGTAGGTGAGTGTGTAGGTGAGCGTGTGAGTGAGTGTGTAGGTGAGTGGGTAGGTGAGCGTGTGAGTGAGTGGGTAGGTGAGTGGGTAGGTGAGTGGGTAGGTGAGTGATAGTGTAGGTGAGCGTGTGAGTGAGTGTGTAGGTGAGTGGGTAGGTGAGCGTGTGAGTGAGTGGGTAGGTGAGTGGGTAGGTGAGTGGGTAGGTGAGTGATAGTGTAGGTGAGCGTGTGAGTGAGTGGGTAGGTGAGTGTGAGTGAGTGGGTAGGTGAGTGGGTAGGTGAGTGATAGTGTAGGTGAGCGTGTGAGTGAGTGTGTAGGTGAGTGGGTAGGTGAGCGTGTGAGTGAGTGGGTAGGTGAGTGGGTAGGTGAGTGGGTAGGTGAGTGATAGTGTAGGTGAGCGTGTGAGTGAGTGGGTAGGTGAGTGTGAGTGAGTGGGTAGGTGAGTGTGAGTGAGTGGGTAGGTGAGTGATGGGGTAGGTGAGCGTGTGAGTGAGTGGGTAGGTGAGCGTGTGAGTGAGTGTGTAGGTGAGCATGTGAGTGAGCGGGTAGGTGAGTGTGTGAGTGAGTGGGTAGGTGAGTGGGTAGGTGAGTGGGTAGGTGAGTGAGTGGGTAGGTGAGTCTCTGTGCTGCACACCCAGGGAATGGCGTTGCGCACGGTGAACTCCCAGCTGGCAATGTGCACCGGGCAGCTGCAGGTCTCCAGCACCACGTAGGCAGCCTCAGGGTCCGTGACAAAGTTAAACTCCCCGGACGCGGTGAAGTTCCCATGCGCTGCATGCACCACAAAGACAAAGATCCCCCGTGTAGCCTCAACAGGCTGTTGGGGCAAGTGTTGTCAACGGGTAGCAAACAGCGGCTATGCAGGCCGGCACGGCACACAAACTTGCCTGGCTGCTGATGAGAAACTGAATTTAGCGCGTTGGCTTTCGCGACCCATATCACCCGTAATACAGGTTTTGTGGGTTAGATCGCGTAAATATATAAATGTTGTGTCGTTAAACCCGCCACCACCCGACACAGCCAACTAGTAAGGGTTGTCACGTAAACAGAACGTGCCCAATTCGTTACTAGTACAGCACTAGTGTATAGTGTAGTGTATAGTAGTGTATAGTGTAGTTTATAGTGTAGTGTATAGTGTAGTATACTAGTACAGCACTAGTGTATAGTGTAGTGTATAGTGTAGTATACTAGTACAGCACTAGTGTGTAGTGTAGTGTACTAGTACAGTACTAGTGTATAGTGTAGTGTATAGTGTACTAGTACAGCACTAGTGTTTAGTGTAGTGTATAGTGTAGTATACTAGTACAACACTAGTGTATAGTGTAGTGTATAGTGTAGTATACTAGTACAGCACTAGTGTATAGTGTAGTGTATAGTTTATAGTAGTGTAGTGTATAGTGTAGTGTATAGTGTAGTGTATAGTGTAGTGTATAGTAATGTAGTGTATAGTGTAGTGTATAGTGTAGTGTATAGTGTAGTGTATAGTAGTGTAGTGTATAGTAGTGTAGTGTATAGTGTAGTGTATAGTGTAGTGTATAGTGTAGTGTATAGTGTAGTGTATAGTGTAGTGTGTAGTGTATAGTAGTGTAGTGTATAGTGTCGTGTACTAGTACAGCACACCGGTGTGTTGGAGAGCCAAGCCACAACATTTACAATCTGAGTACGACGTTTCGCCAGCAATTGCAACCAGCTTCATCAGGCGACAGCCAGGATTAGTGGAGAAATCCACCTGTTTCGTTCCTTAAATAGAAGCGTAGTAGATGTGATGACGTCACTTGTGCGCTCATCTTGCGCGAAGTGGGGGGCGGGGGAGGGGATTAATCAATACATATAAATGACTATGGGATATCCATTGCCGTTTGGATTATTTATATGGTAACGTACTAGTAACGCATTGGCACTGTTCTGTTTACGTGACAGACCTTACTAATTGGCTGTGTCGGGTGGTGGCGGTTCAAGCGAGCCCGACTTTGCTGATGAGACACTGAAGGTCGAAACCGGAGTTCTGCTCGTGTTGAACCAATGGTTTCAAACTCACCTGACTACTGACACTAAATAATGTTGCGGATTTTGCCCGTGTTGAACCAATCGTTCAAGCGAGCCCAACTCTACTGGATGAGACACCGAATGTGGAAACGGGATGGCGGGCACGCACCTTCCACGGTGCCGCCCATGATGAAGAGCTCCTTGAGGCGCGAAGTGAAGTCGGGGTCCATGCGCGTCGCAAGCGCCACGTTGGTCAGGGGCCCCAGAGCCACGAGCGTGATCTGCGGGCAGCACGGAGCAGACTCACGACCGAGGCCTCGGGTGGGGAGCCTAGGCCGAGACCTAGGCCGAGACCTAGGGTCGGAGCCTAGGCCGAGACCTAGGATCGGAGCCTAGGCTGGAGCTTAAGCCGAGAACTAGGCCAGAGCCTAGCCCGAGGCCGAGACATAGCCCGAAGCCTAGGCCGAGACCTAGGGTTTCAGCCTCGGCTAAGGCCTAGGGTTTGAGCCTAGGCCGAGTCCTAGGGTCGGAGCCTAGGCCGAGATCTAGGGTTTGAGCCTAGGCCGAAATCTAGGATCAAAGCCTAGGCCGAGATCTACGCTGGAGCCTAGGCCAAAACCTAGAGTTTGAGCCTAGGCTGAGACCTAGGATCGAAGCCTAGGCCGAAACGTCGACTATTATATATATTTTATTGACGATTCTACGTGTACTCTTAGGTTTTTTCGGTAAAGTCACGTAGGTAAAAAATAATAATAAAATAATAATAAATACAAATAAATAAATTACATCACGACGTTTCGGAGGCAACACAAGTCTCCGTCTTCAGGTGGGACTGTCACAGCCAAATTTACTGTATCAAATTTACTCACCTTGATACAGTAAATTTGGCAGTGACGGTCCCACCTGAAGACGGAGACTTGTGTTGCCTCCGAAACATCGTGATTTAATCGAGTTATTTTCATTTATTATCATTTTATTATTTCTTACCCACACGACTTTACCGAAAAAAACCTAAGCGCACGACTCCTTGCAGTCACGAAAAAGCTTCAAGTCTAGATCCTACGTGTGTAACACGATGCAAATCAATGGACCTGTCCCGGGTTCTCCTTGGCCAGACGGACGAGCGCATTGACCGCGTGTTCCTCCTGCTCCTTCACCGCCACGGGGCTCGGGTCGGGGGGGTCCGGGGAGTCCCCCAGACCGTCATTGCCGTGGAACCGGGTCGCGTGCTTCGGCTTGGCGAGCAGCGGCAAGGAGGCCCCTAGGAACACGGGAACCTGCGGGAGACACGCGGGATTAGCTACGTGCGGTGTGAAAGGAGTTCAACGTACATGCATCATCAACACGTGTGTCTCTCGCTCTTTATCTGACATACTCCCCCACTGTCTCTGTCTCTCTTTCCCAGTGTCTACGCCCTTGGCTCTCAGGCCTCTACCCGTCTCTCTCTCTCCCCGTGTCACTCTCTACCCGTGTCGCTCTCTCCCATTCCTCTCTCGTCTCGTCTCTCAGCCCGTGCCTCCCTATCACTCTCCCCGCGTCTACTCCCTTGGTTCTCAATCACTTTCTCTCCTCGTGTCTCTCTCCCTACCCCGAAGTGTCATGGGGTGAGGGACATGGTGCTGGGCACACCACCCCGCCTTCGTGTGCCGTGTCGGCCTTGATAAGTGCTGCTACTCACAGTATTTATGCAAGTCACTATATATCTTTTGCTGACTTTTTATCAATGTTGCACTCCTATCGTTTTTTTGTACTATTTGTTGTAACTTCCTCCTCCTCCAGTGGAAATAAAGATTCTGATTTGGATACGGGGGATCTTTGAACTGCACCTAAATTTAACTTTGTATTGAACCAGGTAGGGACGACTGAACTGTGTAGCTCTTTTTCAGAAGCGACTTGGCAACAAATGGATACCTCAACGAAGTGGCTCATCATCACGTGGAAATGTATAGCGGCAGCCAAATACACTATGGGCATGTTGATTCTAAATGTGGAGGGAAAAACCGGAGGAACCGGGGCAAAATCCACTCGACCACAGGGAGAGACACGCAAACTACAAATATACAGCAGCAGGCGTCAGGGTCGGGATCGAACCCACGACCTCCTGTAGACCAGGCGAGGTAGTCAACATCTCACCACTGGGAGAGAGAGACACGCAAACTCCAAATATACAGCAGGCATCGTCAGGGTCGGGATCGAACCCACGACCTCCTGTAGACCAGGCGAGGTAGTCAACATCTCACCACGGAGAGAGACACGCAAACTACAAATATACAGCAGGCGTCGTCAGGGTCGGGATCGAACCCAAGACCTCCTGTAAACCAAGCGAGGTAGTCAACATGTCCTAGCCAGCATTGCCCCCCCCCTGCTCACCTGCGCGCTCGCTCCACACGCGCGCAGCACGCGCGCCACGTTGTCCGCCACCTGGCGCACGTGCGTGTTGCCATTGCAGCACGTGATGGCGAGCACGCGCGCGCGCGCGGCGTCTCCCAGGGCAACCATGAGCGCTTGCGCGTCATCCACGCCGCAGTCAACGTCCAGCACCAGCAACTTCTGAGGTGCGGCACCAGCTGGGGGCGGGGCTTAGGGAGGGGTGGGGCATAGAGAGGGAGGGGCATAGAGTTTCAAATTGCAGTGGTACCTCGGTATACGTAATTAAATCGTTCCAGAAGGTAGGACTTATATCGAAAATGACGTATACCAAACGAATTTTTCCCATAAGAAATAAAGGGAAAATAAATAATCCATTCCAGAGTATAAGGAATGATATTTTATGTGGCATATTATACATTAATGGGGTTGTATAAAATAATTTAGACACCACTTAATACTAGCATGCATACATAAATAAAAATAAATGCATAAAATGAATTGAAATAAAAATACAAATTTAGCGTCACTTTACCTTGCTGAGAGGAGTTGATAGTCTACGAGGATGGGGTGGAGTCGTGAACGTGGTCTACGCGGTGACTCATCCTGATCCATACAAGTTCTAGCAAGACGTCGTATCCCAAGCAAGACGTCATATCCCAAGCAAGGCGTCGTATCCCAAGCAAGACGTCGTATCCCAAGCAAGACGTCATATCCCAAGCAAGGCGTCGTATCCCAAGCAAGACGTCGTATCCCAAAGCAAGACGTCGTATCCCAAGCAAGACGTCGTATCCCAAGCAAGACGTCGTATCCCAAGCAAGACGTCGTATCCCAAGCAAGACGTCGTATCCCAAGCAAGACATCTTATCCCAAGCAAGGCATCGTATCCCAAGCAAGGCGTCGTATCCCAAGCAAGACGTCGTATCCCAAGCAAGACATCGTATCCCAAGCAAGGCGTCGTATCCCAAGCAAGACGTCGTATCCCAAGCAAGACGTCATATCCCAAGCAAGGCGTCGTATCCCAAGCAAGACGTCGTATCCCAAGCAAGACGTCGTATCCCAAGCAAGACGTCGTATCCCAAGCAAGACGTCGTATCCCAAGCAAGACGTCGTATCCCAAGCAAGACATCTTATCCCAAGCAAGGCATCGTATCCCAAGCAAGGCGTCGTATCCCAAGCAAGACGTCGTATCCCAAGCAAGGCGTCGTATCTCAAGCAAGACGTCATATCCCAAGCAAGGCGTCGTATCCCAAGCAAGACGTCGTATCCCAAGCAAGACGTCGTATCCCAAGCAAGACGTCGTATCCCAAGCAAGACGTCGTATCCCAAGCAAGACGTCGTATCCCAAGCAAGACGTCCTATCCCAAGCAAGGCGTATCCCAAGCAAGACGTCGTATCCCAAGCAAGGCGTCGTATCCCAAGCAAGACGTCGTATCCCAAGCAAGACGTCGTATCCCAAGCAAGACGTCGTATCCAAAGCGAGACGTCGTATCCCAAAGCGAGACGTCGTATCCCAAGCAAGGCGTCGTATCCCAAGCAAGGCGTCGTATCCCAAGCAAGGCGTCGTATCCCAAGCAAGACGTCGTATCCCATGCAAGACGTCGTATCCCAAGCAAGGCGTCGTATCCCCAGCGAGACGTCGTATCCCAAGCAAGGCGTCGTATCCCAAGCAAGACGTCGTATCCCAAGAAAAGTTTTTCTCATCAAAACACGACGTATACCAAATTCGACGTATTCCAAAGCGGTTGTATACCGAGGTATGACTGTATTACCGCTCTCCCAGCGCACAAACAGCCCCTAGCCTCAGTCATTCGTAAGACGGCGACCCCTCAACACACAATGGGCGATTCGCGTTCTGCAGTTCGGCGAGACTGAATCCGTGCGTTTCAACGGCGTCTCGGCATCGATCCGCCAATGTCAAAGGGCATTCGCCGTTGGTATCGACAATTTAAGGAAGCGGGCTGCTGTTGATGTTAGGGGGGAAGAGCACGGGGCGAGCACGCACCTCAGAGGAAAGCGTCAGAAAAGAGGCGTTTGGGACGAATTCAACTATCATCTCGATGTTGTCCGTACAGCACTTGGAGGGCACGTAGAGCATTTATAAAATGGTTAGTGAAACTTGATAACCCATTCAACCGCTTGTAACCGTTTGTGTATTTGCAACATGTTGCCATCGTGAAATATACTGCTTTGAAATTGGGTCCATCTTTTTGAAACACCCTGTACCAGCGTCGGCAGTAGGGGGGGGGAGAGAGGAGGTGGGGGGGAGAGGAGGTGGGGGGGGAGGAGGTGGGGGGGAGGAGGTGGGGGGGAGAGGAGGTGGGGGGGAGAGGTGGGGAGAGAGAGAGGAGGTGGGGGGGGAGGTGGGGGGGAGAGGAGGTGGGGGGGGGGAGAGGGGGCGGGGCAGAAAGTGGGGTCCACTTTCTGCCCCGCCCCCTCTCCCCCCACCTCCTCCCCCCCCCACTGCTCACACGTCCGAGTGAGTGACAGTGTTCACACGTGCGAGTGAGTGTGAGTGAGTGAGTGTGAGTGAGTGTGCTCACAGAAGCGAGTGAGTGTGAGTGAGTGAGAGTGAGTGAGTGTGAGTGAGTGTGCTCACAGAAGCGAGTGAGTGTGAGTGAGTGAGAGTGAGTGAGTGAGTGAGAGTGAGTGAGTGAGTGAGAGTGAGTGAGTGAGTGTGAGTGAGTGTGCTCACAGAAGCGAGTGAGTGTGAGTGAGTGAGAGTGAGTGAGTGAGTGTGAGTGAGTGTGCTCACAGAAGCGAGTGAGAGTGAGTGACAGTGTTCACACGTGCGAGTGAGTGTGAGTGAGTGAGAGTGAGTGAGTGAGTGTGAGTGAGTGTGCTCACAGAAGCGAGTGAGTGTGAGTGAGTGAGTGTGCTCACAGAAGCGAGTGAGAGTGAGTGACAGTGTTCACACGTGCGAGGGAGTGAGTGAGTGAGTGTGCTCACACGAGTGAGTGAGAGTGAGTGAGTGTGAGTGAGTGAGTGTGCTCACACGAGTGAGTGAGTGAGAGTGAGTGTGAGTGAGTGTGCTCACACGAGTGAGTGAGAGTGAGTGTGAGTGAGTGAGAGTGAGTGAGAGTGAGTGAGAGTGTTCATACGTGCGAGGGAGTGAGGGAGTGAGAGTGAGTTTGAGTGAGTGTACTCACACAAGCGAGTGAGTGTGAGTGAGTGTACTCACACAAGCGAGTGAGTGAGTGAGAGTGAGTGAGTGAGAGTGAGTGTACTCACACAAGCGAGTGAGTGTGAGTGAGTGTACTCACACACGCGAGTGAGTGAGAGTGAGTGAGAGTGAGTGTACTCACACAAGCGAGTGAGTGTGAGTGAGTGTACTCACACAAGCGAGTGAGTGAGGGAGTGAGAGTGAGTTTGAGTGAGTGTACTCACACAAGCGAGTGAGTGAGTGAGAGTGAGTGAGAGTGAGTGTACTCACACAAGCGAGTGAGTGAGTGAGAGTGAGTGAGTGTGAGTGAGTGTACTCACACAAGCGAGTGAGTGAGTGAGAGTGAGTGAGAGTGAGTGTACTCACACAAGCGAGTGAGTGAGTGAGAGTGAGTGAGTGAGAGTGAGTGAGTGAGTGTGCTCACACGAGTGAGTGAGAGTGAGTGAGTGAGAGTGAGTGAGTGAGAGTGAGAGAGTGTGCACACACGTGAGTGAGAGTGAGTAAGAGTGTGAGTGAGTGAGTGAGAGTGAGTGAGTGTGAGTAAGAGTGAGTGAGTGTGAGTGAGTGAGAGTGAGTGAGTGTGAGTAAGAGTGAGTGAGTGAGAGTGAGTGAGTGTGAGTGAGTGTACTCACACAAGCGAGTGAGTGAGTGAGAGTGAGTGAGAGTGAGTGTACTCACACAAGCGAGTGAGTGAGTGAGAGTGAGTGAGTGTGAGTGAGTGTACTCACACAAGCGAGTGAGTGAGTGAGAGTGAGTGAGAGTGAGTGTACTCACACAAGCGAGTGAGTGAGTGAGAGTGAGTGAGTGAGAGTGAGTGAGTGAGTGTGCTCACACGAGTGAGTGAGAGTGAGTGAGTGAGAGTGAGTGAGTGAGAGTGAGAGAGTGTGCACACACGTGAGTGAGAGTGAGTAAGAGTGTGAGTGAGTGAGTGAGAGTGAGTGAGTGTGAGTAAGAGTGAGTGAGTGTGAGTGAGTGAGAGTGAGTGAGTGTGAGTAAGAGTGAGTGAGTGAGAGTGAGTGAGTGTGAGTGAGTGTACTCACACAAGCGAGTGAGTGAGTGAGAGTGAGTGAGAGTGAGTGTACTCACACAAGCGAGTGAGTGAGTGAGAGTGAGTGAGTGAGAGTGAGTGTACTCACACAAGCGAGTGAGTGAGTGAGAGTGAGTGAGAGTGAGTGTACTCACACAAGCGAGTGAGTGAGTGAGAGTGAGTGAGTGAGAGTGAGTGTACTCACACAAGCGAGTGAGTGAGGGAGTGAGAGTGAGTTTGAGTGAGTGTACTCACACAAGCGAGTGAGTGAGTGAGAGTGAGTGAGTGAGTGAGAGTGAGTGAGAGTGAGTGAGTGAGAGTGAGTGAGTGTGAGTGAGTGTGAGTGAGTGACAGTGAGTGAGAGAGGGAGTGCTCAGTGAACGCCTCCTCACCTGTCGCCATCGCTGCTCCGAATGAGGCCCCCGCTCAGTGGGACAGCTGCTACTACGCCCCGCCCCCAACTCTCCTCGCCCCGCCCCCAACTCTCTACGCCCCGCCCCCAACTCTCTACGCCCCGCCCACTCTCTACGCCCCGCCCACTCTCCTCGCCCCTCCCACTCTCCTCGCCCCGCCCACACGCCCCGACCTCGCCCCGCCCACCCCCCTCCCCCCCCTATCGCTTCTGAGAGTCACGTGGCGTCGATCCCGGGAGAATCGATTCCATTGCTGGAGTCGAATGCCAAACCTCGAATCGAGAATCGTACACTTTTATTGTTACACACTTTTATTGTTACACTTTCATTGTTACACTTTCATTGTTACTTTTATTGTTACACACTTCTATTGTTACACTTTCATTGTTACAGACTTTCATTGTTACACACTTCTATTGTTACACCTCTATTGTTACACACTTCTATTGTTACACTTTCATTGTTACACACTTTCATTGTTATACTTTCATTGTTACACACTTTTATTGTTACACTTTCATTGTTACTTTTATTGTTACATACTTTCATTGTTACACACTTTCATTGTTACACACTTCTATTGTTACACTTTCATTGTTACACACGTTTATTGTTCCACACTTTCATTCCTACACGCTTTAATTGTTACACACTTGTATTTAACGTCCCCCCTTGTCTTGTTTATATTCTTTCTAATCTTTGGCGCTTCAATATCTCTGGATCTATGAAGCTTAACGGGCTGAAATGTTGTGCGCACACAAACTCATCGCTCTCCGACGATTCAAGACGTCATTTTAAGAACCGGTCCTTTGTATTCATGCAAACCACCCACGTTTATTCAAAATAATGGAGCTTCTACTTTGGAGCCCCAAATAGAAGTGTGCGAATTAAAACAAAAAAAACTTGCTTTTCATCTGCTTCATCTTCCAAACTAAACATCTGGCATGTCTGCAAGGATTCATATTCTTAGGTTTTTTCGGTAAAGTAACGTAGGTAAAAAATTAAAATTAATAAAAGTAAAATAAAAATAAAATAACAAGTATAACCCGTAAAAACAAAGTTTTTCACTATAAATCCTTTATATGCGTGGCGGCTAGAGTCATCTCGTCTTCTGGCTTGAGATGGCTGCCACCTATGGGTCAGATGATTGTCTGCCAGTATTAAACAATTGGTAATTAAATATTTAATTTGTTTTCCCTAAACAGTGTAAAACGAGTCTGTGTGCAAAATGTCAGCTCGATTGGATCACGGGAAGTGGGTTAAAAAACGACCGAAAGATTTGCACGGTCGTAAGCAAGCAAGCAAGCACGCAAGCACGCAAGCAAGCATGCGAACTTAATATAAAGGATTTAAAAATCACGACGTGTCGGAGGCAACACAAGCTTCCGTCTTCAGGTGGAACCGTCACAGCACGATTGCTGTATCAAGTGATACAGCAATCATGCTGTGACGGTTCCACCTGGTGACAAAAGCTTGTGTTGCCTCCGAAACGTCGTGATTTTAATTTTATTTTTATTTTACTTTTATTAATTTAATTTTTTTACCTACGTGACTTTACCGAAAAAACCTAAGAATATGAATCTGGCATGTCGCCAGCATCGGTCCGTGCAAGCCCGGCTCAGCTGATGAGACACTGCATGGCGAAACCGGTCTGCCTATGAACATCTGTTGACATTTTACAAGGTAAGGAAGGGCGAACTGAGCTGTGTAGCTGTTTTTCAGAAGCGACCTGGCCACAAATGGGAGCTCATCATCACGTGGACATTTATAGCAGCAGACAAACACTCTAAACGCGTCATGTTGATTCTAAATGTGGAGGGAAAACCGGAGGACCCAGGGAGAGAGAGAGACACGCAGACTCCAAATATACAGCAGCAGCAGGCGTCAAGGTCGGGATCGAACCCACGACCTCCTGTACACCAGGCGAGATAGTTAACATCTCACCACGGAGAGAGAGAGATATGCAAACTCCAAATATACAGCAGGCGTCAGGGTCGGGATGGAACCCACGACCTCCTGTAGACCAGGCGAGGTAGTTAACATCTCACCACGGAGAGAGAGAGATATGCAAACTCCAAATATACAGCAGGCGTCAGGGTCGGGATGGAACCCACGACCTCCTGTAGACCAGGCGAGGTAGTTAACATCTCACCACGGAGAGAGAGAGATATGCAAACTCCAAATATACAGCAGGCGTCAGGGTCGGGATGGAACCCACGACCTCCTGTAGACCTGGCGAGAAAGACGACATCTCCTTGCCACCGCACGACGCGGTACAAATGGTGAAGCAACTCTTGAACCCTGACACACGACGAGCGGATGAATCACACCGCACAGCACCACACCACAGCAGGCAAGATGCTGTGGGGACGATGCCAGGAGGCATGTGGACTGAAGCGTCGCCCGGCGCCGTGCTCATGGCGGTCAAGGCTGATTGTGTTGGTGCGTTGCGCTGTACCTCGAGTGGTCAACACAGATTACTGAGACAGGCGACGCTGACATTTGTGACCTTTATTGTTGAGACAAATCACAAAAAGGCAAACAGCCCGCGCCTCTTTGGATGCCAGAAGCCCCAACGGATAAGTGGGTGGGTGGGTGAGTGAGTGACTGATTGGGTGGTGAGTGGGTGGGTCAGTGGATATGTGGGTGGGTGGTTGAGTGGCTGGGTGGCTGGGTGAGTGGGTGGGTGAGTGAGTGGGTGAGTCAGTGGATAGGTGGGTGGGTGATTGGGTGGGTGGGTGAGTGGGTGGGTGAGTGAGTGGATAGGTGGGTGGGTGATTGGGTGAGTGAGTGAGTGGGTGGGTGGGTGGGTGAGTGAGTGAGTGAGTGGGTGGGTGGGTGAGTGAGTGAGTGAGTGAGTGGGTGGGTGGGTGAGTGAGTGAGTGGGTGGGTGGGTGAATGAGTGAGTGGGTGGGTGAGTGAGTGGGTGGCTGGGTGAGTGGGTGGGTGAGTGAGTGGGTGGGTGGGTGAGTGAGTGGGTGAGTGAGTGGGTGGGTGAGTGGATGAGTGAGTGGGTGGGTGAGTGAGTCGGTCGGCGGGGGCCTGCGTCCGTCCCTCCAACCGGTCACTGCACGGCCGCAACGAGCATGGCCATGAGCCTCGCCGTGTCGCACTGGACCATGATGCGCGCATTGACCAGCGGCCGATCCTCCATGATGCCCATCCAGTCCACCACCATCTGGCCGCGCGTCAGAGCGCCGTGCAGCTCCACACGCACCTGCGCACGTGGAGCAAGTGGAGCACGTGGAACACGTGGAACAGGAGAAGCACGTGGAACAGGAGAAGCACGTGGAACAGGAGAAGCACGTGGAACAGGAGAAGCACGTGGAACAGGAGAAGCACGTGGAACAGGAGAAGCACGTGGAACAGGAGAAGCACGTGGAACAGGAGAAGCACGTGGAACAGGAGAAGCACGTGGAACAGGAGAAGCACGTGGAACAGGAGGAGCACGTGGAACAGGAGAAGCACGTGGAACAGGAGAAGCACGTGGAACAGGAGAAGCACGTGGAACAGGAGAAGCACGTGGAACAGGAGAAGCACGTGGAACAGGAGAAGCACGTGGAGCAAGTGGAGCACGTGGAGTGTTCACGATGTCGACAAAGACGACAAAGGCCCCCCCACCCCCTCCGCGTAAGCCTCGCACGGGCCGTCGGGGCAAGTGCCGTTAGCGGCGACGGGGTGCGGTCGGTGGCGGTGATTTACGCACTGTTGCACCGGGTACTCATTCGAGGCCGGGTCGACCTAGGGGAGGCCCAGGACCCGGTGTTGGCCGTCGGCGGGAATCGAACTCGGCTCGCCGGGTGAGTAGCGCAGCGCGCTAACCGTCGCGCCGCCACTCCCCACACACGTGCAAACACACGGTGCTGTTTCATCTTCTTGGTTCTTTCGGTAAAGTCACGTAGAAGGGAAATAATACAATATTAAAAATAAAACATTATAAAATAATTCTCACGACGTTTCGGCCACAACGCAAGCAGCCGTCCTCAGGTGAAGAACAGACCTGTGAGAATTATTTTATTATGTTTTATTTGTATTCTTTTATTATTTCCCTTCTACGTGACGACTTTACCGAAAGAACCAAGAAGATGAATCCCTGCAGTCACGAAAGCTTTAAATCGACACGGTGCTGTTGTTGTGGAGGGCCTTTAACCTCCAAATATCAACACTGATGCTGCCACCTGGATGGGGGGGGGAGGGGCATAACCCCCCTCGTGCCCCCCCCCACCCCCCCCCAGTGCCCTCCCCCGTGCCCACTCACCGAGTGCTCTGCCCACTGGGTCACGAAGTCCGGGTCCAAGGCAGCGGCGACTGCGTAGACGTCGCACGGCACAAAGCCCGGCCCAGCAAACAGCTCCTGGTGGCCACAGAGATGGATGTATGTATGTTGTATGCGTGTTGCATGCGTGTTGTATGCGTGTTGCATGCATGTTGTATGCGTGTTGCATGCATCGTACGTAGCCAACCGTGACAATCAGAGGTGCGCGGGGGAAGGACAACAAACCAAGACGCAAAAACGCCGCTCTAAAGAAGTGGGGAGGGTGGTGAGTGAGTGGGGAGGGTGGTGAGTGAGTGGGAAGGGTGGTGAGTGGGGTGGGTGGTGAGTGAGTGGGGAGGGTAGTGAGTGAGTGGGGAGGGTGGTGAGTGAGTAGGGAGGGAGGGAGGGTGGTGAGTGAGTGGGAAGGGTGGTGAGTGAGTGAGGAGGGTGGTGAGTGAGTGAGGAGGGTGGTGAGTGAGTGGGGAGGGTGGTGAGTGAGTGGGGAGGTTGGTGAGTGAGTGAGTGGGAAGGGTGGTGAGTGAGTGGGGAGGGTGGTGAGTGAGTGGGTGAGTGAGTGAGTGAGTGGGGAGGGTGGTGAGTGAGTGAGTGGGTGAGTGAGTGGGGAGGGTGGTAGGTGAGTGGGGAGGGTGGTGAGTGAGTGGGTGAGTGAGTTGGTGAGTGAGTGGGTGAGTGAGTGGGTGAGTGAGTGAGTAGGAGGGTGGTGAGTAATACCACAGATCCGCGCCCGGGCTCCCGAGCGAAGGCGGTGCTCTTCGCCGAGATGCGCTTCACGAAGCGTCCTCGCTCCGTGTCGGTGGTGGTCCACGCGTCGTAGAACTCCTGCAGCAGCAGCAACACGCACGGGTGGGTGAGCGGCAGTGTGGGTGAGTGGGTAGGCGAGGGGGTGAGTGAGTGGGGAGGTGAGTGTGTGAGTTTGTGGGTAGGTGAGCATGTGAGTGAGTGGGTAGGTGAGTGTGTGAGTGAGCGGGTAGGTGAGCGTGTGAGTGAGCCGGTAGGTGAGCATGTGATTGAGTGGGTAGGTGAGTGTGTGAGTGAGTGGGTAGGTGAGTGTGTGAGTGAGCGGGTAGGTGAGCGTGTGAGTGAGTGGGTAGGTGAGTGGGTAGGTGAGCTTGTGAGTGGGGAGGTGAGTGTGTGAGTGAGTGGGTAGGTGAGCGGGTAGGTGAGCGTGTGAGTAAGCCGGTGGGTGAGTGGGTAGGTGAGCGTGTGAGTGAGTGGGTAGGTGAGTGTGTGAGTGAGTGGGTAGGTGAGCGTGTGAGTGAGTGGGTAGGTGAGCGAGTGAGTGAGCCGGTAGGTGAGCGTGTGAGTGAGTGGGTAGGTGAGCGTGTGAGTGAGCCGGTGGGTGAGTGGGTAGGTGAGTGTGTGAGTGAGTGGGTAGGTGAGTGTGTGAGTGAGCGGGTAGGTGAGCATGTGAGTGAGTGGGTAGGTGAGCGTGTGAGTGAGCCGGTAGGTGAGCGTGTGAGTGAGTGGGTAGGTGAGCGTGTGAGTGAGTGGGTAGGTGAGTGGGTTGGTGTGTGAATGAGGTAGGTGCGCGTGTGAGTGAGCGGGTAGGTGAGTGGGTAGGTGAGTTAGTGATGGGGTAGGTGAGTGAGTGATGGGGTAGGTGAGCGTGTGAGTGAGCGGGTAGGTGAGTGGGTTGGTGAGTGAGTGAGGTAGGTGAGCGTGTGAGTGAGTAGGTAGGTGAGCGGGTAGGTGAGTGAGTGGGTAGGTGAGTGTGTGAGTGAGCGGGTAGGTGAGCGGGTAGGTGAGCGGGTAGATCAGCGTGTGAGTGAGGGGGTAGGTGAGCATGTGAGTGAGTGGGTAGGTGAGTGATGGGGTAGGTGAGCGTGTGAGTGAGTGTGTAGGTGAGCGTGTGAGTGAGTGGGTAGGTGAGCGGGTAGGTGAGTGATGGGGTAGGTGAGCGTGTGAGTGAGTGGGTAGGTGAGTGGGTAGGTGAGTGATAGGGTAGGTGAGCGTGTGAGTGAGCGGGTAGGTGAGTGGGTAGGTGAGTCTCTGTGCTACACACCCAGGGCATGGCGTTGCGCACGGTGAACTCCCAGCTGGCAATGAGGAGCGGGCAGCTGCAGGTCTCCAGCACCACGTAGGCAGCCTCAGGGTCCGCAGCAAAGTTAAACTCCCCGCACATGGTGCAGTTCCCACGTGCTGCATGCACCACACAGGCAAAGATGCCCCGTGTAGCCTTAACATGCTTCATTGGACCTCCTTTGCCAGTACCGATATATTAGAATGGGTTTTTCCCCTTTTTTCTGGCAACAAAACAGCTGTGTTAGGATGTTAAAACACCAAACTGAAACCTTTTACAAGGAATCATGTCTGCAATAAGCACAATACTTGTGGGCAGAATGCAAACAAACAACATACTCTGATGTATGTTGTCGATTTAAAGCTTTCGTGACTGCAGGGATTCATCTTCTTGGTTCTTTCGGTAAAGTCACGTAGAAGGTAAATAATAAAATAATAAAAATAAAACATTCTTAAATAATTCTCACGACGTTTCGGCCACAACGCAAGCAGCCGTCCTCAGGTGAAGAACAGGTCTGTCGGAAAGACAGCGTCTGAATGAAACACCACCAGGCTTGGGGCGTATATTTAAGCTGGATTGGAGGGGGAAGAGCGCCTTGACAAAATAATTATGTTTCATTATGTTTTATTATGTTTTATTTTTATTATTTTATTATTTCCCTTCTACATGACTTTTCCGAAAGAACCAAGAAGATGAATCCCTGCAGTCACGAAAGCTTTAAATCGAAAAGTTCTCCTCAGGTTAAACCAATGGTTTCAAACTCACCTGACTACTGATAAGACACTAAATGTTGCGACCGGTCCAAGATGTTGCTCGTGTTGAACCAATCGTTCAAGCGAGCCCAACTCTGCTGATAAAACACCGAATGTGTAAACGGGCGCGGCGAGCACGCACCTTCCACGGTGCCGCCCATGATGTAGAGCTCCTTGAGGCGCGAGGTGAAGTCAGGGTCCATGCGCATCGCAAGCGCCACGTTGGTCAGGGGCCCCACGGCTATGAGCGTGATCTGCGGGCAGCACGTAGTAGACTCAAGACCGAGGCCGAGAGACCGAGACCTCGGGTGGGGGGTCTGGGCCGAGATGTAGTTTGGGGAGTCTAGGCCGAGACCTAGGGTCGGAGTCTAGGCCTGGAGCCTAGGCCGAGATCTAGGCTTGGAGTCTAGGCCGAGACCTAGGCTTGGAGTCTAGGCCGAGACCTAGGCTTGGAGCCTAGGCCGAGATCTAGGCTTGGAGTCTAGGCCGAGACCTAGGGTCGGAGCCTAGGCCGAGACCTAGGGTCGGAGCCTAGGCCGAGACCTAGGCTTGGAGTCTAGGCCGAGACCTAGGCTTGGAGCCTAGGCCGAGACCTAGGCTTGGAGTCTAGGCTGAGACCTAGGCTTGGAGCCTAGGCCGAGACCTAGGCTTGGAGTCTAGGCCGAGACCTAGGCTTGGAGCCTAGGCCGAGACCTAGGCTTGGAGTCTAGGCCGAGACCTAGGCTTGGAGTCTAGGCCGAGACCAAAGGTCGGAATCTCGGTCGAGACCGAAGGTCGGAGTATAGGCCAAGACCTAGACCAGGGATGGCAAGACCTATACAACCGAGAACTAGGCCATAGACTAGGCCGCGACTTAGGCCGGAGCCTTTGCCGAGACCTTGGATTGGAGCCTAGGCCGAGACGTAGGCCGGAACATTTGCCGAGAATTAGGCGAGGGCCATTGCCGAGAACCTGGATCGGAGATTAGGCCGAGACTTAGGCCGGAGCCTTTGCCAAAACCTTGGATCGGAGCCTAGGCCGGGGTTTAGGTCGAGACCTAGGTAGGGAGCCTAGGCCAAGACCTAGGGTCGGAGCCTAGACCGAGACCTAGGCCAGAGCCCTAGGCTAAAACGTCGACTATAATATATTTTGTTATTGATAATAATAATAGTTAAATTTATAACGCACGCAAATTTGCGGACGTAATGGCCGCAACTCAGAGGCGCGGAGCCAAGCTCAGAGTCGCTCAAAAGCATGATTGTAGAGGTGAGTTTTTAAGTCTCTCTTGAAGGAGGCGATTGAGGTGATGCTGCGAATGTGCAGAGGGATATCGTTCCAGACTGTTGGGCTGCCACCGACAAGCGGCGCATAGACACGAGTGTATATATGTACAATGATACAAATCAATGGACCTGTCCCGGGTTCTCCTTGGCCAGACGGACGAGCGCATTGACCGCGTGCTCCTCCTGCTCCTTCACCGCCACGGGGCTCGGGTCGGGGGGGTCCGGGGAGTCTCCCAGACCGTCGTTGCCGTGGAACGGGGACGCGTCCATCTGCTTGGCGAGCAGCGGCGAGGAGGCCCCTAGGAACACGGGGACCTGCGGGGGACACGCGGGGTTAGCACCTTTACATCATCCGCACCTAGTTTACACAACAAAGGCTCATTCCTAACAGCGTGCTTCAGCCGCACCTTTACATCAGCCGCACCTTAACAACTCTTAGAACCTCCCAGTTCATCCATTCTACACAACAAGGCGAGGTAGTTAACATCTCACCATGGAGAGAGACACACGGCAAACTCCAAATATACAGCAGGCGTCAGGGTCGGGATCGAACCCACGACCTCCTGTAAACCAGGCGAGGTAGTTAACATCTCAGCACGGAGAGAGACACACACAAACTCATAATTTTCAACAGGAGTCAGGGTTGGGATCGAACCCACGACCTCCTGTAAACCAGGCGAGGTAGTTAACATCTCACGACGGAGAGAGACACAGCAAACTCCAAATATACAGTCAGGGTTGGGATCGAACCCACGACCTCCTGCATACCAGGCGAGGAAGTTAACATCTCATAGCCACCGTGATGCCCCCTTTGTCTTTGGGGTGAGTGTTGTGGGTGAGGACCCCCCCCCACCCCCCTCCTCACCTGCGCGCTCGCTCCGCACGCGCGCAGCACGCGCGCCACGTTGTCCGCCACCTGGCGCACGTGCGTGTTGCCGTTGCAGCACGTGATGGCGAGCACGCGCGCGCGCGCGGCGTCTCCCAGGGCAACCATGAGCGCTTGCGCGTCATCCACGCCGCAGTCAACGTCCAGCACCAGCAGCTTCTTAGGTGCGGCACCAGCTGGGGGCGGGGCTTAGAGGGGAGGGGCAGGTGGGGGGGTCAAGAGGGGAGGTGGGGGGGGTCAAGGGGGGGAGGTGGGGAGGTCAAGGGGGGAGATGGAGGGGGGTCAAGGGGGGAGGTGGGGGGGGTCAAGGGGGGAGATGGAGGGAGGTCAAGGGGGGAGGTGGGGGGGGTCAAGGGGGGAGATGGAGGGGGGTCAAGGGGGGAGGTGGGGGGGGTCAAGGGGGGAATTGGGGGGGGTCAAGGGGGGAGGTGGGGGGGGTCAAGGGGGAGGTGGGGGGGTCAAGGGGGAGTGGGGGGGGGTCAAGGGGGGAGTGGGGGGGGTCAAGGGGGGAGGTGGGGGGGGTCAAGGGGGGAGATGGGGGGGGTCAAGGGGGGAGATGGGGGGGGTCAAGGGGGGAGGTGGGGGGAGGTCAAGGGGGGAGATGGGGGGGGTGACGTGGTGGGGAGTGGTGGTCTCAATCAGAATATTTATAATTCGATTTAAAGCTTTCGTGACTTGCAGGAATTCATCTTCTTGGTTCTTTCGGTAAAGTCATCACGTAGAAGGGAAATAATAAAATAATAAAAATAAAACATGATAAAATACAATTTTCACGACGTTTCGGCCACAACGCAAGCAGCCGTCCTCAGGTGAAGAACAGGGCTGTCGGAAAGACAGCGTCTGAAATTTATATTTATGCTGGAGGAATCCGATGAGCTACAAAGGACCTCTTCGTTTTGTTTACAAATATCCAGTAGAGTCACTGAGTCGGAACGTCACAACAACAATCACAATACAAAAACACGATAGGGGTGTAAAGTGTAAAAGTAAACAATATAAGAATAGATTTTACCCTTTTTATATGTCTGTCTATAGTTTTCTGGTTAGATTTTTGTTGCTATTTCTTTTATACCTGATGATGATTGCTTGTGTTGCAATCGAAACGTCGTAGTATGCTATTATTTAATTTATTATTTTATCTTTATACGTGACTTTACCGAAAGAACCAAAGAATAACCGGCCGGGTACCCGGCCGGGTACGGGTACCCGTTTGCGACCCTGGTGCGGCCGGGTACGGGTACGGGTAAGGAATCAAAACCCGTTTGCGACCTCTGCTATATAACCTCTTACCACGGCAGCTCTCTCTCCCACTTCAGCAAAAAATAATTCTTGCTGTGGTTTTCCCAACTGATGATGATTGCTTGTGCTGCAATCGAAGCGTCGTGATTTAATTTATTTTATACCTACGTGACTTTACCGAAAGAAGCAAAGAGTATCCCAGGCATTCTAGATTTGAAGCTTTCGTGACTGCAAGTATTGATATTCTTAGGGTTTTTCGGTAAAGTCACGTAGGTAAAAAATTAAAATTACTAAAAGTAAAATAAAAATAAAATATTTTATTTTTAAAATAAATAAAATAAAAATAAAATATTTTATTTTATTTTTATTTTACTTTTATTAATTTGAATTTTTTACCTACGTGACTTTACCGGAAAAAACCTAAGAATATCATAGGCATGCTCGAGAGTGACGAGTTGTGGATCGCTTTGATTTCTGGGACGGCAGGGAGGATTTGTGGACCGAAAGAGCCTCACATTTGGCACCACATTGATGCTTGAATGCTTTCCTTCTGCACGGATTCATTATAGCCCGTCGCAGCGCCTTTAAAGTTCAAGTTCATGTATTAGGTGTAGCCCTGTGAGCCATTCGGCTTTTGAATCGGGTGCAACTGCAACAAACAAAAAACAAAAACATGAACAAAAAACATTTGAAGTGAATATGTGACTAAGTGCAAACATAAAATCCAAGAAAAGACAGCTAAATATTGCAGAAAAAGCACCGTACACCAACGCTGTGTGCAAAAATCCCAGTGGGATGCAAGTCAAACAACAACAACAACCACAAGACAGCTTAGATTAAGGCCATCAGTCTAACTCTGTACTACAACAAACAAACATGGCTAAACCAATACACTTTTCGAAATCACCAAAATAAAGCCATGAAAGCAATGAAAAAGCAATCATAGGAACTGTGACGGAAAAGCTTTTTTAAATCCTTTATATTAAGTTCACTTGCTTGCACGCTTACAACCGTGCAAATCTTTCGGTCGTTTTTTAACCCACTTCCCGTGATCCAATCGAGCTGACATTTTGCACACAGACTCATTGTGCGTGACAATTTATTTTCGTGAAAAATTTTTTTTCCTAAATGTTCCACTTTTTAGGAATTTTTTTTTCATATTTAATTTAAAATACCAATGTGATACAAATGAAACTCTTACTCAAAAAAACAAAAATGAATAATAAAATAAAACCGATGCCACGCAAATAAAGGATTTATAGTGAAAAACTTTGTTTTTACGGGATAATTTATAAATCCTTTATATTAAGTTCACTTGCTTGCTTGCTTGCGCGCTTACGACCGTGCAAATCTTTCGGTCGTTTTTTAACCCACTTCCCGTGATCCAATCGAGCTGACATTTTGCACACAGACTCATTGTGCGTGACAATTTATTTTCGTGAAATTTTTTTCCTAAATGTTCCACTTTTTAGGAATTTTTTTTTCATATTTAATTTAAAATACCAATGTGATACAAATGAAACTCTTACTCAAGAAAAACAGAAATGAATAATAAAATAAACCCGATGCCACGCATATAAAGGATTTATAGTGAAAAACTTTGTTTTTACGGGTTAATTTTTCTTGAGCCACTTTCTGCATTGTGTATGGTACTGTGATTATATATCTATCCCCGGGGCTATGTCGCCATACAGTCTTTCTGTACGTCGGCTGTCAGGGAATGCGAATCGATGCATAACATTCTGGGGTGGAAAAACTTGCTGGTTCAACCGGTTATCGCTTCAAAGCACCGAGTCTTCTTGTTACTTACAACGCGGGGAAAGTCTACACTGAGTGTTGGTGTCTTAATAGGGTGCTAGTGATTTGAGTGAGTGTGCGTGTTTACAGTTTAACGCGTAGGCTTTCGTGACCAAAATCTATAAATACTGTTTTTTTGGGTTAGATCGTGCAAATATATAAATGTGTCGTTAACCCCACCACCACCCGACACACAGCAAATTAGTAAGGTTTGTCACGTAATCTGAACGTGCCAATTTGTTACGAGTACAGCAGACTGGTGTGTTGGAGAGTAAACCAGCAACATTTACATTTCTGAGTACGACGTTTCACCAGTAATTGCAACTAGCTTCACCAGGCTGATGACGTTTCATCAGTAATTACAACTAGCTTCTTCTTGCTTCTTTCGGTAAAGTCACGTAGAATGGAAATAATAATAAAATAATAGTAAAACATTATTAAATAATTCTCACGACGTTTCGGCCACAACGCAAGCAGCCGTCCTCAGGTGAAGAACAGGTATGTCGAGAAGACAGCGTCTGAATGTTTTCTCGACAGACCTGGTCTTCACCTGAGGACGGCTGCTTGCGTTGTGGCCGAAACGTCGTGAGAATGATTTTATTATGTTTTTTTTTAATCCTTTATATTAAGTTCACTTGCTTGCGCGCTTACGACCGTGCAAATCTTTCGGTCGTTTTTTAACCCACTTCCCGTGATCCAATCGAGCTGACATTTTGCACACATACTCGTTGTGCGTGACAATTTATTTTGGTGAAATTTTTTTTCCAAAATTTGACACTTTTTAGGAAAAAATTAATTATATTTATTTACCAATTGCTTAATGGTGGCAGGCAATCATCTGACCCATAGGTGGCAGCCATCTCAAGCCAGAGGACGAGAGGACTCTAGCCGCCACGCATATGAAGGATTTATAATGAAAAACTTTGTTTTTACGGGAAATTTCTTATTATTTTACTATTTCCATTCTACGTGACTTTACCGAAAGAACCAAGAAGATGAATTCCTGCAGTCACGAAAGCTTTAAATCGAAATACAACTAGCTTCATCAGGCTGATGGCGTTTCGCTAATAATTGCAACTAGCTTCACCAGGCTGATGACGTTTCGTCAGTAATTGCAACTAGCTTTGTCAGAATGTGTTAACTCCGCCACCAACTAGCCGATGAACTGAGTTTTAATTACTGGCGAAACGTCGTACTCAGGTTGTAAATGTTGTGGCTTGGCTCTCCAACACACGAATTGGACACTTTCTGTTAACATGACAAATCTTACTAGTTGGCTGTGTCGGGTGGTGGCGGATTTATCGACACATTTATATATTTACCCCCAAAAAAAACCTGTATTCTGGAAGTGTTTAAAGTGTTGAGCGTGGAGTTTGCATGTGTGAGTGGCTGTGAGTGTGGAGTTTGTATCGTGTTCTGCAAATATGAGTCGTTGAGTGCCAGTGAGCAGTTGTGAGTGAGTGGAATGTGTGTGTTCTGCCCCTGTTATGCAAGAATGCGTGATTGAGTGTGTGGCAGTGATAAGAGTACGGGGGGAGTGGTAGTGTAGCGGTTAGCGCTACGAACTGGACCACCCGAGTTCGATTCCCGCTCACGGCCACCAACACCGGTGACGATTATCTGAACCGGTCCTGGGCCTCCCCTAGGTCGACTTAGCCTCAAATGAGTACCTGGTGCGGTGTGTAAACATCGCCACTGGGGAGACAAAGGCGGCCTGGCGTGGTGCTGGCCACCCACCCCACGTGTGCTGTTTCGGCCTTCATAGGTGCTGCTCGCTAACAGCACTTGCCCCAACAGCCTGTTACAGGCTACACGGGTGATCTTTGTCTTTCTGTGCGAGTGTGGAGTTTGTATCTTCACCCCCTGCTCTGACGAGTGTGCAAGTTTATGGGTCGAGTTCACGGATGGGGCATCGCTGGCCAACGCTGCGACCTTTGAACGATCACTTAAAGTGTGTGTCGTGTGTGTTTTTGTGGCTTTCCGAAAGCAGGGCTGTGGGGCCTACACCGTCAACCTCTCCAAAACGAAGCACCTGCCTGGGTATTTCTGTGCCATCAAACACTTCCACCATCTCAGCTCCCCCACGAGTTCTGGGGGCAGTCGTGGAGGCAGTTTGGAAGAGTTCCCGTACCCCTGGGCAGTCGTGGAGAGAGTTGGAGGAGTTTCCCGTACCCTGAGATTTGGAGGAGTTTCCCATACCCTGGGCAGTTGTTCTTATGAAGTGGAGGTCTCAAGTCCGAATCAGTCGGGCGGCAGAATATATTAATCTTGCTACTCTGGGTCTTCTCGGTTACCGTGATGCCTCTATGCTTGCGAAACGTGGAGCCTTTTAAATGAACGCCTGCTCCGGTTTGAAACATTCAGGCGGGCCTGCCTACGATCCACCCCTCGGTTTATGTGCGAGGAGCTCACGAATCTTTGAGAGATCTGGAAACACAGTCCCCATCGTCAGTGCACTCCTCTGGCAGGCGAGGCTGCGTCGGTTGAGTCGCGTGGCTCGCATGCCAGAGGTCGCAAACTGGTTTTGATTCCTTACCCGTACCCGGCCGCACCAGGGTCGCAAATGGGTACCCGTTCCCTACCCGCACCCGTACCCTACCCGAAATGAGTGACAAACGGTTACTCACCAGTGACTCACGGCCTACCCGTACTCGTACCCGGCCGCACCAGGGTCGCAAATGGGTACCCGTACCCGGCCGGGTACGGGTACATGTGGAGTTTGGGGGGGGGGTCCACTTTCTAAAACTTTCTAAAAGGCTCCCCTTATGATTGAGTTGACGAACAAACGAAACGCCGCACTTTTATAATAGAAGCCACCTGGCCACAAACGGTTCTAGCTCAGCGAAAGCGGCTGACCAATTTGGGAATGCATCGTAGCCAAATACTCTTAAAAGCGCACGTTGATTCGAAACGGAGACACGTGACTCAGCCCATCAGCCCTCCCTGCGGACGGACTCGTCCCCGCCATAGGAACGTGTAGCACGCGTATTGTACGCAGGCAAGAGCCAGCGGCTGCCCGCTCGAGACGCCGAATATTGGACCGCGTCGGAACGCCGAGGGGACCCGACCCGAATCTCGGACTTTGGACGGCAGTCCGGGACCCCAAATGTGGTAGAGTTCCACCCCCTCACCCCCTCACCCCCTCACGACCCCCACCCCCTCACGACCCCCATCCCCCACAATCCCGTCACCGAGGTTGAGCCCCGGTGACTCAGCGACCCACCACTCACCCGTGTTGTGTGTGACACGCTCACCCACGTAACACGCTCACCCGTTTGTGTGACACGCTTACCCACGTGACACGCTTACCCACGTGTGTGTGACACGCTCACCCACGTGACACACATCACCCGTGTTGTGACACGCTCACCCACGTGTGTGTGAATGGTCACCTGTGTGTGAGAGAGCTCACACGAGTGACAGTTCACAGGAGTGAGAGCTCACAAGTGTGAGTGAGAGAGAGCTCACACGAGTGACAGTTCACAGGAGTGAGAGCTCACAAGTGTGAGTGAGAGAGAGCTCACACGAGTGACAGTTCACAGGAGTGAGAGCTCACACGTGTGAGTGAGAGAGAGCTCACACGAGTGGCAGTTCACAGGAGTGAGAGCTCACAAGTGTGAGTGAGAGGGAGCTCACACGAGTGACAGTTCACAGGAGTGAGAGCTCACACGTGTGAGTGAGAGAGAGCTCACACGTGTGAGTGAGAGAGAGCTCACACAAGTGACAGTTCACACAGGAGTGAGTGCTCACACGAGCGAGCGAGAGAGCGAGAGAGAGAGCTGACACGCGTGAACCACACCTCACCTGTAGCCATGTCTGCTCCGAGTGAAGTGCCACCAGTCGGCAGCCTCGCTAAATAAAGACCCCCTCGTCGGCCACCTCCCCCCCATACTCCTGATCCCCTCCTGATGGTCACGGGGAATCGATCCCAGGAGAATCGATTCCATTGCTGGAGATGAATATTGACGAGTGCCAAACCCCGATGGTCAACCGCAACCTTGGAATCAGAATCACCGGCCATGTGGTTTGTGTGTGTGTGTGGGGGGGTTTGATTGTCTTCATGCAAGCCACCCACCGTTTACAGAGCACATCAAATTTGATTAATTCTGAGGTCAAATGA